AGCAATCCTTTTCTCTGTTTGTGTTACATTTCGGGAGACGTGATCTGAAATTTCTTGAGTTGATGGGCACCCAGCATGACAAAAGTCTTCTCAGTATAATGTCATTGGGGGCGGGGACCCAGAAAATTCGACCGGCATTAGTGTTTCTTCTTTTATTCAATACAGTCCAGCTAAGCGGGAATCTTGTTGTTAGGCTTGGATCTGGGCCCGTAATCAAGAAATCCCTGAATCGGAGAGGCTGCAGATTCTTTACCTTTGGGAAAAGTCGGTGTGGTGTGGTAGACAGTGTCATGAATGCGGTACTAGGCCAGGCGAGAGCAAGAGAGTCCAAAGGCAGTCCAAAGTCAAAACCGAGCAAGCAGCAATACCGAGAGACCAAGTCCAAATCACCAACCGTTAGAATAGTCGTTAAAGCCAGAGTCCAAAGAAGTCAGAAGCCAGAGAGTCAGAGGTCCGAGGTGTAGGTCAGGAGGATAGTCGTACGAGCCTAGGTCAGGAGCCGAGAAGTCAAGACGAGGAGCAGGAACTGGAACACGGGTGGTGAGGTGCAGAGCTTCGTCCAAAATGACTAGTTGCTAGCACAACTAGTTGCCATGAGTGCGCGAGCTAAAAAGCCCGTCAGGCTGTTGGCAATTAGCACGCCCTGATTGTGTCCCAACTCCTACTAATACTCAGGGCTAAAAGAGCGCCTACCGTGCATGCGCGCATCCCACCGCCGGGATGCCATGTCCTGTCGGCGTTGTTCCCGCGGGCGGGATACCGGTGGGGGCGAGTCAGGGGGTGTGTTACTCCGCCGTGAGTCTGCTTCAGCTGCTGCTGGCGCAGTTTCTGTGGCTTCAGGTGCAGGGTTGTCAGGAGCCGGGGACTCATCTCCAGCAGTACTGAGGTCTTTTCTGGGCCAAATGCTCATCCCCAGCAGTCCTTTCGATGATATATCAGATTCATCTGTAAGCAGTAGCTCAGGATCTATCACATTTTTATATACACATGCCCCTTCCCCAGTGGAACTCAAGGCAATATCCATGTCTCTGAGCTTGGACCAGAAAGATTGGAGTCCAGATCGCTGCCATCTAACCTACCACAGAGGGATTTTAGTGATGATATATCAGATTTATCTGTAAGCAGTAGCTCAGGAGCTATCACATTTTTATATACACATGCCCGTTCCTCAGTGGAACTCAAGGCAATATCCATGTCTCAGTTTGGTGTAGTGGTGAGGAGCACGGACTCTAATCTGGGAGAACCAGGTTTGATTCCCCACACCTCCATATGCAGCTGCTGGTGTGACCTTGGGTCAGTCACAAGTTCTCTTAGAGCTGTTCTCTCAAGGGCAGTTCTCGAAAGAGCTCTCTCAGCCTCACCTACCTCACAGGGTGTCTGTTGTGGGGAGGGGAAGGGAAAGGAGATTATAAGCCGCTCTGAGACTCCTTCAGGTAGTGAAGGGCGGGGTAT